AAAAAAATCAGAGGGAGTTTCCGTGGCTCGGAAAAGGGCTGGCTCGCCACGTAGAAGATTTTGGCCTCTTTTTCGACACATAGGCGGGACGAAAAAAAGACGACATGCACAAGACAGCTATTGTTTGTAGAAAAAAATAGATATTTGGACAGAAAAGAAAATGAAAACATACAGGTGACAGAAAGACGTGTCCATCCGACCTCGTGGACTAATGACTGCTGAGTCACGCTTCACTCGAGTGGCGTCGCTACAGGATGTTAGCCGTGCAATTCAAAGAATAAGACAACACAAAACAAAGCTCATATTCAAACAGTTTATTACAAGGTGACATTTCTGCCGGCGGTCTTAGAACTTCTGGAATTGCTTCTTGGCACCAGCCGCCTTTGTCACCTTGAGGACGTCTTGGTGAGAGGTCGGCACTCCCCGACCGTCAGTCACAAAGTCGCCGATCGAGACATCTCTACATTTGAGAAGGGGAAGAACAAAAACAAAAAAATGAACCCAACCTTCTCTCATTGTTGAAGAATCAAGGCTGCATCAGCAATGCAAAAAGGCGATGTCGTCAGAGTTTAACTTGGAGGACCATCGTGAGAAAAACATGTGCAGAGGTAAAAATTGAGCTGGGCAAATCCAAGAATGGGTTGAAGGTACCTGAAGCATGGCGACAGATGCACCGACAAGTTTTTGTGCCGCTTCTCAAAACAGTTGTACTTCTGAATGTACTGCAGGTAGTCGCGTCGAATGACGATGGTCCTCTGCATTTTCATTTTGGCAACCACGCCGAATTCAATTTACAAGCATCACTGGATAGCCTTTAACACTGACCTGAGAGGATACGGCCACGGATGGAGACGTTTCCCGTAAAAGGGCGTTTCTTGTCTATAAAAGCGCCATCAATAGCCTGAGGGGAGAAAACAGAACAAGCATTTTGATTCACTGTTAATTCAACGAAATGCGCCATTTTAGATGGCATCTAATCGCATTAGCTTTGCCAAAAGGCGTCGTCGCCAAAACCCTGCAGGCTAGGAAGACCATCGCGATAGAAACATCACTTGCAGATTCAATTAAGACTTGAACACGACTTGAAAATGGACCTCTCTTGGGGTTTTGAAGCCCAGCCCGACACTTTAGTGGTAACGGGGGAGCTTTTCTTTGCTCTCCTTGCCTCCATCGGCGGCCAGAATTCGCTTCTTGTTCCGGAAAATGGTCGGTTGCTTCTGATAAGCCCTCTCGGTCTGCACAAGGACAAAAGTACGCGTTCACAGCACGACCAAGAACAACGACAAAAGTGATTTTAAGACGAGCTACGGAGAACGTGAAAGTGGCTAAGCTAACCGCATTAGCAATCCGGCTGCTAGCGTAGCTAGGATTTCACGGTAACAATAGCTACCGATAGCGTGGCGTTATTTTAACGGTACCGAAAAATAGTTTAACCATTAAAGTCACCGCGCACGACTTGACTGTGTGATCAACGCGATTGATTTCACTGTGCCTCTATGTACGTTTGTGGTGTGGTGTGTGTTTCTTCTAATTTACTTTCGTTTTGTTTTCAGTGTTGGGGGGACGCAACAGATAACGTTATGTGCGCATGCGGGTTGCTATTTTAGTCCGCAAACTGAGGAATCGCGAGGATGAAAGTTTGAGATGGTGGCGAAAAAAAACCTCACAAAGGTCTACTAATTACGACATTTAAGAAATGGGAATGCCAGTCTAATTTTTCGTATGAATCGTCCCATCGACGAGAGGCACGATTACGAGGCAAGTTGGTCATTAGATTTGTAGGCTAATCGCTATGAAAAATATTATGAAACAGTATTGGTTATTCTATAATTTACTGGTTGTAGCATGGTACCTTTATGAATAAAACATTCGTCACAAGGTGTTGTAATGCTCATGTTAACTGTTGGTAGAACTAATGATGACGTGTGTTAAATTTGAAGGTTGTTTGAAAAAAATGCCGACCGTAAGGTTTTTTTTTCGAGGTAGAAATTCTCGGTCGGTCGGTTTACCGGAAACACACTACTTTTTTTTCTACGCCTAATACAATGGTGCCATGAGTGCGTCGTGTTGCAAGCATGAACCGCATTCAATTCACAAGCATCACTGTCATGTTAGAAGTACCAAGAACTACACCGAGCCTCAGAGGGGATCGAGCCTTTTCCGTTGCTGGTCCCTCTCTCTGGAATGACCTCCCACTGAACATTCGGCAAGCCTCCTCGGTGCCCATCTTTAAAACCCGCCTCAAAACTCATTTGACTCAGATTTGTTCTTGGTTTTGCTGTTCAGTGCTTTCTACCGTCTTTGTTACCGATTTGTTGCACGTTATAGTTGCTCCACGTACAGCACTTTGTATGCAGCGATGGCTGTTTGAAAGTGCTCTATAAATACAGTTGAGGTGAGACTGTACAGCAGGGGTGGGCAATTATTTTCCCGGGGGGGCAAATGAGAAGCAGAAAATATTGTGGAGGGCTGGGCCAAAAGTTAGAAATCGACTCCCGATTTCAATTTTATTTCTATGTTGAAATAAGTTCATGACATTGTTTACAGAAGCTGATAAGAGTGTGTATTATTGCTAGATAATTAAAGTGCACTTATTTTACAGAAAAACGATTTGTTCCGTGAAATTATGCAAAACAATTCTAATTGTGCAACATTTGTAACTCTTTTTCAGTCAGATGAACATGACAACACTTTCTGATTTTAACTTTCCCATGAAGGTAGCACAATGTCTTTGTATGCCAGTAATAATGGAACATAAGTCACATTTTTTGTCCCAACTGCCAATGTACAATAAATACAAGCAAGCATGTTTCAGTGTTTTGGTTTTTTTCTTGCTCAGTAGAGATCAATCTCGCCCAGGGGTGGGCAAACTTTTTGGCTCGGGCCCCCATTGATTTCTAAATTTGACAGGTGGGCCGGGTCAGCACAAGATACGGTACATATGAAAAACTGTGTATGTTGACAGTCCATACCAAACAACAGAACAAAAGCATTAAGGTATGAGCATACTTTTTTCAATGAGAACAGTGAAACAACTGTGGTATATGTCCTGTATGAACGTCCAAGTATGTTTACAACATACATGTGTGACAACACAAGCGACAACTACATTGCCCAAAAACTGCAGCATAAAGTACAGGTATATGACAAAATACAACAAAGTTGGGACTATCTGCTGCAAAATGAGACGAGTATAAGACCTGGCGGCTTTCTTTCCACTCACTCACTCACTGTCTCGAACTTGACCTCCCCTCGATCGCCAACCAAGACAGCGTTGCTCAGCTGATGTCGTGCGACAAACTTTTGAACCCAGCCACAGGACGCTTCCAAGTCTTCGATGCCCATAGCGCGATGTAACTCGATTGCTCTTATTCGCGGTTCAGTTGGCGGAAAGTTTTTAGCGCGTGAACGGTCAAACCATTCCAGGAAACGTTTATTGACTGGACCGTCCGTCGAGCCGCAAGCAATTCACTCTGAGCATGGGAACAGCCAGAATCAGACTGAGCGAGAATCGCTTCCTCGTTTTTCAAAGTCTCGTAGATTTGAGCCTCTCAGACTCCAAGCGTCTCCTGAATGTTTCGTACTTTGTAACCCGCTTCGTCTGATCAGATACACTTCACTTTCTCTTCCGTGGCCATGACTGTTCCTCTTCGTTTGGATGCCATGATCTACATGACGTAAAAATGTTCGCAATTCCAGTAAAACTCACTGCTATAAAGAGTCACTTGCGTGTCGCCGTTTTGGATCCAATGATTGAAAATAGCGGCGCGGACACACTTATTCCCTCGTATCGAGCGGAGTTCCTTGAGTCGGAGTTACTTGAGTTAGCGATACCGCGGGCTTCTGTATCGTCTCCCCCTCCCTCCCTCCCTGTGCTCTGCAACTTCAAGTAACTGCGCCGCCTGGCGTTGAAATGCCTCTCATTACAAGTACGAATGAAATGAATGCAATAATTTACATCGGACCTTAATTGTGTACTGCACCAACCTTCGGCGGGCCGGATTAAATCGACCAACGGGCCGGATGCGGCCCGCGGGCCGAAGTTTGCCAAGGACTGCTGTACAGCCTTTAACATTGACCAGAGAGAACACGGCCACGGATGGAGACATTTCCAGTCGAGGGGCATTTCTTGTCAATATCAGTATCATCAAGAGCCTGAGGGGAGAAAACAGAACAAGCATTTTAATAACTGTTAATTAAACGAAATGCGACATTTTAGATAGCAACTAACCGCATCAGCTTTGCCGAATGGTGACGTCGTCAAAACCCTGCAGGCTAGGAAGACCGTCGTGAGAGAAACATCACTTGCAGATTCAAGTAGGACTTGTAAATGGACCTCTCTTGGGGTTTTGAAGCCCAGCACGACACTTTTGTGGTAACGGGGGAGCTTTTCTTTGCTCTCCTTGCCTCCATCGGCGGCCAGAACACGCTTCTTCTTCTGGAAGATGGTCGGCTGCTTCTGATAAGCCCTCTCGGTCTGCACAAATACAAAAGTACGCGATCACAGCATGACCAAGAACAACGACAGAAGTGATTTTATGACGAGCTACGTAGTACGTGAAGGTGGCTAAGCTAACCGCATTAGCAATCCGGCTGCTAGCGTAGCGTCACACGAGGGTAAGCGGAGTTCCAACAGATTGCTCATCTAAAATATCCACGACACTTCGAAAAACCACCCCCAGCGCGTTCTAAGAACCGCATGCCAATTTATATTCAATAAAATTGGGCTTGAGTGTGAGTTAAAAGGTAAAAAGTCGTTTGCAACACCCGGGCCGTTTTCTCGAACATACTTGTGCGCCCGCCATCTTGGCCAGCCGAGTTGGAAAGAGGGCTGAACACGCGCGCAGCGCACGGAAGTCGGTCAGATCGGCCAGAAATGACGCAATACAACTATTCTTTTTCTCTTTTCATGATTATTTATTCAAGATATTGCAAGTTAATTGTTAGTGATGAATGTATTTTTTAATCACGTTATTGTGAACAGAAAACAAAACGAACACGTTCGTAATACACGCACACGTTACAAACATTGAAACAAAAAGAAGCCATGAGATTTTAAAACAAAAATTTCAAATAAGGAGCATATAGCCAGAGTCGTAACAGCTTTCTTGTTTTTGGAATTGTTAAGATATTATTCCTCTCTGTTCGTTGAATTTGAAAGAAACAATGTAGAATGCTATTGAAGGTATTTCCGGTTTTCTGTGATTACAATCACCTTTGGTACCCCCTCACCC